CTATATCTGTGAAGCCCTTTTGGCGCATCTATCCTGTTAGGGACACAAAAACTGCACCGGACTGGTCAAAACCAATGAACAGTTCTGCCTTTTTTGGCATAGAAATGATACATTTAACTGTTCCCAGTAATACTTTAGATTATGGGTTGTATCTGTTTTATTTCACTGTTGAGGTAATGCCGATGACCACCAGAGAAATCCTCAGGGGGCAAGACAGAATTTATGTTCAGATCGAGAGAGCTAATCTAATGGCAAATATTTCAGGAGGTGACTTCCGCATGGTGGGTTTTTCTGAAAGCTGGACTCTTGATGGCTCTGCATCCTCTGATCCTGATTCACAGGAAGGATCAATCTCATTTACTTGGTACTGCACTAGAGATTTGAGAGACTATAATACCATGAAATTCAGGCCAGAAAACAAATGCCATCCATCCCAGAAGGATTTGCGCTGGTTAACACCCTCAGGTCCCATTCAAAGAATGGCACCTGAATCCCTCCCAGGAAGAAGCATATACTACTTTCGCCTAGTGATTCAAAAGGGCAGAAGGATAAGCCATGCTGATCAAGTGGTAGAGGTGGAGGCTGGCCCCCCACTCCATCTGAACGTGGCATGCATTGAAAACTGTGGTAGCACTTTAATTCCAACGGAGAGATTTGCCTTGTCTGGTAAATGCTTAAACTGTAAACCAATCAACAAGCCAGTCTACTACTGGTCCCTTTTGTCAGGCAGCGGTAGAGAAATTAGCTTTGACTGGTCTTCCAAAACATCAACGGGGAGGTCTGGGGCTTACATGTCTATACATGCTCTGACTTTCACAAGGGCTACATCTCCATCCTACACACTTCACTTAAGAGTAAGTACCTGGGATGGTAGGACCTCAGTCTACAGTAGAAAATTTAGGGTAAATACTCCTCCTCGGGCCGGCAGGTGTAGCTTGAACCCACGTCGGGGTATAGCCTTTCTGACAAAATTTGTGGTTAAATGCAAGGGATTTTCTGGCAGCAATTTACCTCTGACATATAAAGTGATAGTAGCTTCCAACGTACCCGAAACTACCAAAGTAACTTCTGTGGTGGAAAACACATTTGGCACAATTCTGTACTTTGGTTCTGAGCCTAAAAGTCCTCTATCTTTTCTCCCACCTGGAGCGCCCTCTCACAGAAACACCTTGACAATTTATGTTCAAGTCCGTGATTCCCTTGGGGCGTTTACCCAAGTGACTTTGCATACCTCCATCCGGAAGCCAGCAAACCCTCAATTACTCCCCGCTGTGTTTCATGAACTGCTGGCCTCAGCAAGCAGCTTAAGCACAGCTGGTCCAAAGGCTGGGGATAATCTTAGAGCTGGTTATTTGGCTTACCTGGCAGCCTCAATCTTAAACTATGTTAAAACCGTACCAACTCCCCAGCTCCCACAGGCTAAGCTTCGGGAAACCCTGATTAAAACAGCCCTGAATATTTCGGTTAAGAGCATTATGGGAGTCAATCAAGTAGTGGCTGTTCTTGCTGCAGTCACAGAGGAAGTTGATGAAGTGAACATTAGGTCACAAGGCCTCGCCATTGCAAAACTGAGAGAAGTAACAGGAATTCTGAAGATAGAGAGAAATCAGATCCATTGGTCTGAGGAAGCAGAAATTCAGACCAGTGGAATACTAAGATGCTTGTCCAACATCCTGAGATCTGATCTTACGGATCTCAAGAATGTCAGTGCAGATGGAATTGAACAAGTCTTGTCCATCATGGAAGGTGTAACAGAGGTAGCTTTCCGGGGCAAAGTCCCTGGAGAAATAGAAACTTTAATGGAAACGAAAGACTGGAATATCACTCTGAAGAAAGATGAAGCCTGGAACACTGCAAATGCTTTCCCTACCAGCGACACCTGCAGAAATTGCTTTTATCCAACACTGAAAAAAGGAAATGTTTCAGGGTTTGCTCAGGATACTGTGTTTTCCACTGCCATTTTTGAGTTTGATAAGACCCCCTTCCCTTGGTTAGGTTACACAGCAGAAATCAGAACAATGGTCTTGGGGTTTAAAATGGCAGAGACTAAGGCTAATGGGGATCTAGTTGGGATCGTGCCTGAAAGAGCAGACGTTTTTCTTGCCAGGAAAGGTAATGGATCTACAACTTTTCCATTAATAATGGGACCCGATACAACAGAATCTTACACAACTGGAGGATTTCGTTTTGAGGTCAGCAGGAATACCACGAGCATATACTTCCAGATCACAACAAAACTAAAAGCTACTTTCAAGGTGAAAATATTTACAGGTGCCAATGTCACTCAAGCTCAGCCCACAGCCTTGTTTACTGCTTCTCACAACACGTCAACAGTTGCCAGTGGAAATGAGACAGCCAGTGCTGAGTGTAGCATTAAGGGTCCCTATATTGTCTGTCTCCCAAAGTCACTGCTGACAGCCATAGCTCAGGCAAACGGCACAGACAGGCAGAACATCTCCATTGTCCTGGAGACACACTATGTTGTAAGGTACCCGAACCGGAGACTGGTGGGCATATACATTTTTAATGACCGGTGCCTGTTTCTGGACGGGGTTGGAAGCCCGTGGAGCAGAGACACATGCAAGGTTGGCTCCAAGACCGACTGGCAGAAGGTACACTGTGCCTGCAACACGGTGCAGAAGCTCAGGAGCGTGTCAGCCCAAACTGCAACGAACATCAAGTTCCTGGCAGCCAAAGTAGTAGTTCTTCCCAACACAGTAGATCTAGGAAGAAACCTGATAGCACACATACCTAGAAACCCACTGACCCTCATAACAGTGGCCTCTATTTTTGCTGTCTACTTTCTTTTGTGCATCTGGGCCATAATAAAAGACAGAGCTGAGAAGGAGATCAAATACATTATGGTCCTGCCAGACAATAGCCCCTCTGATGAAGGGAGCTATTTGGTCACTTTGTATACAGGCAGTCGCTGTAATGCTGGAACCAAAGCAGCTGTCGCTCTGCAGCTCATCGGCGAGGATGGCAAGAGTAAATTCCGTTGTTTATGGCACCACCCTTCTCCAGCTTTCCAGCGAGGAAGCACTGATTGCTTTCTGATAACCACTAAGAAAGACTTGGGAGACATTCATTCCTTCAGGGTCAGGCTTAATAACGATGGCTCATCTCCAAGCTGGTTCTTAAGCAGAGCTGAAATTGAGAACACATCCACCAGGAAGGCCTGGTCCTTTATGTGCAGAAAATGGCTTTCTTGTGCCAAGGATGATCCCCCACAAGAGTGGAAATTTTCTGTCACAGACCCCAGAACACCCCTACCCAGAATCGACTATTTTCTTATTAACTTTAACAAGAGGATGATAGACTACCATCTGTGGTTCTCAATTTTTGCTCCCACTGTCACTGGTGCTTTCACCAGATTCCAAAGGTTGTCTACGTGTTTAGCAGTAATATTATTCAACTTGCTTGTTAACATTATGTTCTTTAACGCTGATAAGATTGAAGAATCTCCAATATACCTGAGGTATTTGAGATCAATAGCAGTAGGAATTGAATGTGCTTTGCTTACAATCCCCGTGGAAATGCTAATAATTGCCTTATTTAAGTATTCCCAGAAGGAACCTACTCCTGTAGTGACTAAGATGTACCCAGAGGCCAAGCCTGAGTTCTGGAATAATTGCGTACTACCTGAAAAAGTTGCAAATGTCATTGAAACAGAGGAGCAGATGATTGATGCAAAATCCCCTCCAGGGGCTACATCCTCCCGGAGGAGGTCAAAGTCCAGTAGTTATGCAGGAGGGAGCATCTTTCTGAAGCGAAGGAAATCATTAAGCAGTACCATCAGGGAACTTCGTAAGACCCCGGCCACAGAGCCTGTTCTTTGGTGGTGGTGTGTGCCTGTCTCATGGGCACTGGTTGGAGTTATAACTATCCTGTCCTCGTTTTTCATTGTGTTGTACGGCCTGTCCTATGGCTACCAGACTTCACGGGAGTGGCTTATTGCGTCTGGAGCCTCCTTCCTTCAGAACGTGTTTCTCCATTCAATTTTGAAATCAGTGCTTTTCTCGGCTCTGAGCACAACGCGCCCAAGATATTGTGAAGACATCACCTGGGTTACCCAGGAAAAGGAGGTGGAGATAAACGTGGCTGAAGGAGCTAAGAGAGCTGGTGAGAAGACAGGTGCACGTTAAACCCACTGAAGTCAGAGGGACCAGGCAGCAGAAGCCTCTGGAAACATGCTGAAAAGGGCAAAAATTAAAATAAAGGCATTTCTTTTCATGCAAGTTATCATCAATCATCCTGTCATTTTATCAGTGCTATTAACAACGGCTTCGACTGCAGCCAAGCCCTGAGCAGAAGTTTCTTTCAGAAAACTTCCCTCACCCCCGTTTTCTTACTAAGCAGGACTCTGCCCTTGGGCCGAGCAAGTATCCCGGGCCCGACAGTGCCAGTGTGTTCCCACGGGAAACCCGGGGCCGAGCAACGGGCGCACAGCGCCTTCTGCCACCTCGACCCCCGACCCCGCACACAGTCCCCCCCCCCCGCACACAGTCCCGTTCCCTCTCGCGCACAGTTCCCCCCGCACACAGTCCCCCCCCCGCACACAGTCCCGTTCCCTCCCGCGCACAGTTCCCCCCGCACACAGTCCCGTTCCCTCCCGCACACAGTCCCCCCCCCGC